ATCAAGTTGGTAGAAGAAACCCTTGGGCCCACTGCCAACCAGGGCAGTTTAAATATCATCCTGTTGAGCAGCGAAAAGCGCGAAATAAGCAGCAGCGTGGTAATAAATGCTTTGCGCAAAAAAACCGGTCCCATATACGCGGCCGAAAACCTCAGCTTTGGCTCGGTAAGTGCTTTTGGCAAGCCCGTCTCCATTTCCTTGCTCTCAACAGATTATGCCGCCCTGCGCCAGGTGAAAAACCAACTGAAGGAGGAGATGAAGCAGTTTAGTGAGCTGCGCGATGTGGTTGACAATGACCTGGAGGGCGTAAAGGAGGTGCGCCTGAAACTAAAAGACAAGGCTTTCCTGCTAGGGCTCAACCCCGCAATGGTTATGCAGCAAGTGCGCAATGGTTTTTTTGGTTACGAGGTACAGCGCCTTCAAATTAAGGAAGACGAGGTAAAAGTTTGGGTGCGATACAGCGACCAGGAGCGCTCCAGCCTATACCACCTGGAAAACATGTTTATCCGCACCGCTCAGGGCGGAAAGTACCCACTCAGTGAAATTGCCGACTACACCGTAGCGCGCGGCCCGCTAAATATCTATCACCTCAACGGCAAGCGCGAAATTAAGGTTGAAGCTGATTTAGCCGACCCCAACGGTTCGGCTCCGGACGCCATTGATCGCATTCGCACGGAAGTGCTAGAACCGCTCTTGGAAAAATACCCGGAAATTCAGGTGTTGTACGAAGGCCAAAACCGCGAAGCACAAAAAACCATTAACTCAGCCCGGCTGGTGATGCCTTTGGTTTTGCTGCTCATCATTCTGGTTATCACTTTCACTTTTCGCAGCTTTTACCAGGCAGTAACTATATTTCTTCTCGTACCCCTCAGTTTGGTAGGCGTGGCCTGGGGCCATTGGTTGCACGGAATTCCCCTGAGCATATTCTCTTTTTTGGGCATTATTGCCTTAATTGGAGTAATTGTAAACGACTCGTTGGTGCTGGTTAGCAAAATGAACGGTTATTTGAAGGAGGGCCTGGCCTTTAAAGACGCGGTGCTACAAGCCGGATTAAGCCGATTTCGCGCAATTTTGCTCACGTCAGCTACCACCATTGCCGGTTTGGCACCTTTAATTTTAGAAGAAAGTGTACAGGCGCAATTTCTCATTCCCATGGCCATTGCGCTGGCCTACGGAATTTTGGTAGCCACCGTATTAACTCTGGTGGTGTTACCGGTATTACTGAGCTATTTAAACGAAGGGCGCGTGTACGGAAAGTGGCTATGGACTGGCCAAAAACCAAGCGCAGAAACCGTTGAACCCGCAATAATTGAACAAGAAAGTGAAGAAGATCAGTAAGGTTTTTGTGTTAATGGCAGTGCTGCTGCCCGCTATGCTTCATGCCCAGGTTAAACGCATGAGCTTAAAAGAAGCCGTTGGCATAGCGCTGGAGCAAAACCTTGAGATTGAAGTAGCAGAGGCCAGTGCAGAAATTGCCGATGTGCAGGAAAACTGGGGAAACGCTGGGTTTTTGCCCAGTTTGAATGCCCAGGCTGCTTACCAGTACTCTGTAGCCGATCAAACCCAGGAGGTTGCCGTGGGCAATGACACCTCGCGCCCCAGCGGCCCCATCCAGTTCACAGATGCCGCCTCAGAAAATTATACCGCCAGCCTTACCGCTAATTATATTTTGTTTAACGGGCTGGGCCGGCTCAACAATCTGCGCAAGCTGAAGCTGCAAAAAGAACTGAGTGAAACACAGTTGCGATTTACCATTGAAAATGTGTTGCTGAATCTATTTAGTGCTTACTTTCAGGTAGCCTACCGCCAGGAATTACTGAATATAAGCCGTGAATCGCTGGTGCTTTCCAAGCAACGATTTGAACGCGCCAAAACCGCCTATGAGCTGGGCAGCCAAAGTCGCCTTGAAAGCCTAACCGCTCTGGTTGATTTGCGTCAAGACAGCGTGAATTATTGGAACACCTATACCCAATTGCAAAAAAGCCGCAGAAACCTCAACCGCATACTTGATTTCCCAATTGATACCACGGTATATGCCGATACCAACCTGAGGACGGTGGGAGAATTAAATTATTTGCAGTTGCAAAAAGCAGCCATGCAAAACAGCGCGGCCTTAATTCAGGCGCAATTGAGTAAAAACATTGCCGAAAAAAACGTGAATATAGCCTGGAGCCAACGCTTGCCGGAAGTTTCGGCCAGCGGGGGCTATACTTTCTCCCGCCAGGAAAACGAAGGCGGGTTTTTGCGCTTTACCGAGTCCACCGGCTGGCAATACGGCCTAACTGCCCGCTGGAATATCTTTAACAGCAACCAGATTCAAACGCAAATTGAAACCACCCGGCTGCAAGTTTTCCAAAACGATTTAAAGCTACAACAAGCCCGCCAGCAACTAAAAACCGACATGGCCAACGCCTGGCTAGATTTTGAAAACGCCAGGAAAATTTTCGCGCTCCAAGGCAGAAATTTAAAAGTAAGCCGGCTCACCTTCGCCCGAAGCCAAGAAGCCTACGAGCTTGGCCAAATAACTAATGTGCAATTGCGCGAAGCGCAGCTCAATTATATTAACGCCAAAGCGAGCCTCAAAGATTTGTATTACCGCACCAAATTGGCCGAAATAGAACTGCAGCGCGTAGCCGGAACGCTGCTGCAGGAAGTGAAAGCGCCCTAAGCTGCGCGGGCTTTTTTAATAAAGGCCACAATTGGCCTTGCTATTTCACAGAAGCCTTATTTTAGCGAAAATTAAATCTCATCAACCTCATGAAATACACGCAGCACTCTAATCCGTTTAAAAATTTAAAGAGTGACATTCCCGCTAGTATTGTGGTATTTTTAGTGGCCGTACCGCTCTGCTTGGGTATTGCTCTTGCCTCCGAGGCCCCATTGTTTTCCGGCCTTATTGCTGGCATGATTGGCGGCATTGTGGTGGGCACCATAAGTAAAGCTCCGCTGGGCGTAAGTGGCCCCGCAGCCGGTTTGGCCGTAATTGTGGCCAATGCCATAAATGACCTGGGCTCTTTTGAAGTATTTCTGGTGGCGGTAGTTATTGCCGGCCTCATCCAGGTATTGCTTGGCATCTTGAAAGGGGGCGTAATTGGCTACTACTTTCCCAGCTCCGTTATTTTAGGCATGCTGAGTGGCATCGGGATTTTAATTTTCATGAAGCAAATTCCGCATTCGGTGGGTTATGATCGCGACCCGGAAGGCGACTTAGCCTTTAATCAGGTGGACGGTGAAAATACCTTTAGTGAACTCATAAACATGCTGGATTACATAAGCCCCACGGCCGTGTTAATTTCCGCGCTTTCCATTGCCATATTGTTGATTTGGGAAACACAATGGATGAAATCAAAAAAGTTCAGCACCCTTTTGCCCGGACCACTGGTGGCCGTTTTTACGGGCGTTTTAATTGCCTGGCTTGCCAGCGGAACGGAGTACGCGCTTCTAGCAAGCCAAAGGGTTCAAATTCCGGAAGCCTCTAGTTTTAATGGCTTCATCAATAACTTCACCCTTCCCGACTTTACGGCCCTCACCAACAAAGATGTATACATTACCGCTGTTTTAATAGCCGTGGTTGCCAGCCTGGAAACCCTGCTTTCGGTGGAAGCCATTGACAAGCTAGACCCCTATAAACGTACCACACCCACCAACCGCGAATTGTTGGCGCAAGGCGTTGGCAATAGCCTGAGCGGTTTAATTGGCGGCTTGCCCGTAACCCAGGTAATTGTTCGCAGTTCAGCCAACGTTCAGAACGGGGGTAAGTCCAAAGCCTCAACGGTAATTCACGGCTTTTTAATCTTGTTCAGCATCATGCTTATTCCGTCAATTATAAACATGATTCCCTACGCAAGTTTAGCAGCCGTTTTATTTGTAGTAGGCTATAAGCTGGCAAAACCACAACTGTTCAAGAAAATGTGGGGACAGGGCATGGAGCAGTTTATCCCTTTTATTGCAACCATTTTAGGCATCCTTCTTACCGATTTACTAATTGGCCTGGCCATCGGCCTTGCGGTTTCGCTCCTGTCGCTCCTGTACAATAATGCGCGCCTGCCTTATCGCATTTCAGAAGATCAGCTGAGCGATAAGAAGAAAGTAAAAATTCAACTGGCGCAGGAAGTTACCTTTTTGAATAAGGCCCGTATTCTCAGAACCCTGAATCGCATTTCACCGGGAACAGAACTGGTGATTGACGCCTCAGAAACTACGTACATGCACAACGATGTACAGGAAATTCTCGAGGATTTTAAGATCAGCGCCAAGGAGCGTGACATTAAAGTTACCTTTTTGGATTTGTACCGTCATTTGGAAACCGATCCCCGCGACCGCTTAAAAATTCGCTACGAGAACGTAAACGATGACGAAAAATCTAAAATAGAACTCAACACAAACAGCTAATAAAACACCATCTCGTATTTAAGCGCCCCGTAGTTTCGTGAAAGCTATGGGGTTTTTTTTGGTGACAGGTGGATTACGGAAAAAAGGGCCTGGTAAAGGCCGGGCCAATTGAAGCGATAGGCCACATCATAACAGCCATCTCAGTTATTGCTTTGGCCGTTTAGCCCAATTCAGCCCCGTGATTCCGTGGGCCATGAACTTCGTTCCATGGGAGAATCTTACTTGCGGAATGCCGCTGCCTGAATATCACTTCAGGGCCATGCGTCCAATTTTGCAGGCCTTCGTCTTTGGCGCAGATTTTCAATTGGCTTTACCGCCTAAAAGTAGCAAGGGTAATGCTTAGCTATTCACATGAAATGTTGGCCACCACGTTGTACCTAATGCGGTCGGTAGTAGGATTTAAGAAGGTTTTCTTCTGGATGTACATGGTAATGCTTGCTATATCTTTTTCAGGCGGAACGTTAAATAATTTCCGGGCAAAAAAGTAGCGCTTGTATATACCACCACCATAATCGTCCATTTTCAATTCCGGATAGTTGCCCACCGAAAACCCATTGTTGGCAATTCTCACGGTGGTACTGTCGCTAAGGGTAG